CTGGTATCAAAGGTGTCTCACTGGTGAGAGAGTGTAGCTGTGTATAAATAGGCAGCATCATTACATTTCCAAATAATCTCTTTGGAATATGTTGCTTTCCCAAAGGACAGTTCTATTTGTAAACCACTTTGTCTGACCATTGGCCCCAAAACCTGATTAGAGGCAAAGATAATCAACCCCGCAACCTTGTAAATTCCGAGTCTCTGACTCTACAACAGGGAAGAATTTAGCCTCTCCTATAGATAGGGTTGAAAGTTCAGTTTTCTAGAGAAGGTACCAGAAGTTAGGGCAGGGCTTCTGCTTCTGCCACAGGCAATTTGCACAACAATGTATCCTGAAGGCCACGCAGTAACTCAGTGTTCACTGAAAAGACAACCTCTCCACTTAGAATCCCTGTTTTCCCATTAACAGAGAAGGGGTGGTGTGAAATGAGAGTGTAGAGAGGAACCCCAGTTTCTAGAAGAGAGGGAAGGAAGGGCCTGGGGATTGTGCTGCCTTTGGGTGGAGGGAGAAGGAAGGGGCAGGTCTCTGATGGAAGCAGGGCCAGAGGACAGCCCCAACTGGCCGGTTCCAGTCACAGAGCTCAGTCAGCGAGAGGTTCATCATTAACTGTCAAACAGTGGTTTTAATCAGCTCTGCTCCTCAGTGGAAGATAGATTTAATATCAAGGCACATTTTCAGAGCCATTAGTTTAATTATGACAGGTGTCTGCAAACTGGACGACTCTGCTTTCAGACCTGAGTGACAGCATTTAATTCTCTAGGTCTACGGGGATGCTCGGTTACTTTACCAAAATGAGCCTCCATTAAAAGTCTAAGTGTTTTCCATTCCCTTCTCCCCCCTTGCCTTCCTCCTCCTCTCTTTTTATCCTACTGTACATGTCAAAAAGAGGAAATGGATAGAAAATTGTGCTTCAGCAGAAGAGAAAATAATTTACTTTGCCTATTAGTCTCACTGGGGCTTCCAGCAGCTGAGATCCTGCTCAGGCAGAAGCCTGTATCATTTAGAAACCACCATGAGCATCTCTGCACCGTGTCCACAGTCATTGCTTGCGGGACACCCAGTGGATGGCAAATATAATGGCACTCATGATGTGGGCAGGAGGACTGACGGAGGTGCGGAGAGAGTGTGGGTCAGGTGGGGAGCCGAGGGTAGCCTGCTCCGAGGAAGCCCAGAAGCACCCATGTGTCAGCCTCTAACCTGGCTCTCTGCCCCTCTGGGGACTCCTGGGGGCTGCTGTCCTGTTAGATTTTCCTATCCTGAGTTCAATCCATCTGTCCTGCTCCCCTCCACTCGAAGGACCAGGTGGCCAACATGGGCTGGGTGATAATGGCAAGGGCACTCAACTCCCTGAAACTTCTGTCTACATGGGAAATTGTTGAGTTAGGGTCGTGTTTTTCAATTTTTGCTTTGCTTTGTTTTGCATGAACAGAAGGAGGCTTAAAAAATGAAATCTTAGGAAACCCAAATTCATGTGACTTAATCTTTGGCAGAGACCTGGCCCACTCCCAGGGTTCCATCTCTCCCACTTCAGAAGCTTCTGAGACCCAGGGCTTGGAGGCCCTCATGAATCCAGGGCTGAAACTACTGGGCAGATGCTGGTCTCTGAGGACCCTCCCAGTCTTGTGGTGCATGACCTTGGGGGCTGGAACCCTCATCGAAGGGAATCCTTGCCTTAGAAGGAGCTGATTGGGCCAAGAGCAAACATTTGAGAAAGGATGTTCAGGACATGGCGGGGGTTAAGATGCCACAGCAGGGGTCAGAGGGAGCTTTGTGAGTGGCCGAGGATGAGTTTTATTTATCTCTGGTTAGTTTACCTCTATGATCAGATGCGTGCTCAGGCTGCAGAGCGCTCTATCTTACCTGTCCTCGCATGATGTCTACAGGATTATTTTTGCAGTCCCTTTTCTGCAAAGGTAATTACCTCTGGAGGCACAGGGAGACAGACAGCACCAGCATGGTGACCTGGCCTTGGCCTCCTGTCTGCAGTCAGGGCCAGGGCCGGGAGTTCATCCTGATTCTGGTCCTGCATGGAGCTGTGAGCTGGGCTCCTCCCGCTGGTGCACAGTGACCCCTGCTGCTGCATGGCAGGGCTGAGAGAGAGAGAGAGAAAGAGAGAGAGAGAGAGAGAGAGAAAGAGAGAGAGAGAGGCGGTGGGGGGATAGGCAAGTGTGGGGAGGGGGAGAGAGAAGAAGAAAGAAGAGGGAGAGAGAGGAGATAGGAGGGAAGAGAAGCTAGAGGGAGAAAAGGGATGGAGATGGGGGTGAGCACTCCTCAGGGAGCTATATTATGCCCTTTCTGTGGCCACCCCACCCACTGTTGTCCCCATACCCGGTGGAGGTCAGAACCCCTCTTGACCATCTCGAGGTTTTTAAAATGACTCCTTTCAAAGTGGAAATCAATCTCTGGAGACCAAAGGAGGCAAATATGCTTTGAGAAGAGCCTGGTCTGGTTTCTCAGGGCACCCCTTCCAAAGGCTCTTTGTTTGGTGTGGCTGTGAAACCACATCTGGGGCTTCAGAATATGTGGGGTTCTTTGATTTGGCTCCCTTAGGAAAAAGGGGTTTTGTGTGCGGGAGGCAGGAGAGGAAGAATCTTGGGGTGAAGGCTTAGTGAAATCACGTGGGACGAAGCTTCCCTCTCTAACGAAAGGACTGCCAAGTCCTACGCTCTCAGCGGAGAAAAGAGCTGCTTTGTGTCCCTTTGTTTGTTCCTTGGTTTATTCACCCAGTCACGAGATTAATTCTCAAACGTGGTAAGCAGAGGCTGGTTGACCCTTCAAGGAAGGGGGCATCTTCTGCATGTCATCAGATGGGAGGGAGGTGCCTGGGATAGGAGACAGCCTTTACTAGTTTTCCTGTTCCTAGAACCCTCCCTAAGAGGCTGTGATACAGGTAAAACAACACTATAGAGACGAGTGCAAGTGGAGACCACTGCGCCACATGACGTCTCATTCCTCTGTGTTCTACGGGGGGGCCCACAGGTGTCTTTTCGTAGGAGCCTGGAGAATACAGTCCTTCATGTCAACCTTTGCAGATGAAGTATGAGCTGCATGAGTGAGTGTTGACCTGGTGTTTTGTGAGATTTGTGCCTAGAGTGGGCATTACTGATAGAGTTCCAGAAGCAATCAATGGTAGGGGAGGGTTACTTCATGCCCTTTCTTGTCTGTGAGTCTGTGCTCACTGGGAGATGCCCTCGCCTCTCCTTTCTGCCAAGCTCTGCCCACCGTCAACCTCCCCAGACCCAGTGTGCGTGGACCTCCTCCTCCTTCACTGAGCGTTGGTCTACTCCACACTCCTGAGCATTTGTGCTGAGCTCCAATTGTTCTTCATGCTAAGTCCTGTTCCCTCCACTAGATTCTAAGTGCTACAACGACAAAGCCAACGTCTCACCCTCGCCGTCACTTTTTGTAGCCCCTACAGCCCCTAGTACAGCTCCTGAGAAAGACTTGAGCACAAAGACACACTTGTTAGATTGAACTGAATCTCTTTAGAACCTTTTCTTCATCAGTGTTATTTACAAATCATTGGCAAACGTTCTTTTGACACCTCATGGCCTGGAAGTTCAATTTAAGATTTTCTAGACTCAGTCTTAAAAAAAAGAGGCGAATGCTACTAGCATGCAATTTGCCGACCGCACCCACATCACTTAAGAATTGAAGGAATATACAGAATTTACATTTCCTTTTCTCCTGATCACATAGAACAGAGGCTTCCAGGAAACTTGAGCAGAGAACTTTCAGTTCCGTAAATCTTCTAGACATTGTGGAATGGGGATCGTGGTTCCAAGGCCTTTGATGAATATTAAAAAACCATCTCTGCATACCTCTCACGTCCTGTGTGAGGAAGATCAAGAAAGAAATTACATTTCTCCCATTCATTGCAGGCCTCCCTTCTAAAAAGGAAACCTTTGCATGTGTATTTTTAACTTTAGACCCTATTGAGGGGAGGTGGTAGTGTGTTTTGTGAATGAGACAACAGATAGAACAGAATCCATAAAACAAATTATATTTGTAAGATTCAACCCTAGGATATAAAAATTTGGCATTCATAGAGGGTATAAGTTGCCATAGGATAGAAGTTGTAACTCAAGAGCTAACAAACTATGTAGGTTCAAAGTGACCATTTTTGATTTGATAGTAAAAATTTATAGCTTAGAAATTGCAACATTATATCGTAAGACTTTCAAGTCACTTTACCTCCTGATTAAAACAGATGCAACAATGCTCTGTAACTGTACACTATTTTTTCTCTCTAACAAAAGAGAGAAAAATAAGCAGGTTTTAAAAAATGCACAGAGTAATTAGCTTAGTGACTAATTAGCTGAATTATTGTGACTAGTTTTCCCACTGAAGTAGCAGCAAGTTGCTTGGAAGAAATGCTGAGTATACACTACTCAAAGCATTTCAAGTTCTGAATTTGTACAGACCTAATCAGTGTGAAAACCATACTGTATTATGATTCATGTGAAAATGGTGAAGTATTTACCTAGGTTTTCTTGGCTTGTGTTTTCTAAGTGTTATAGCTGAGAGCTTCATCATGTCTGGGTTGCTGGCACAATCAGGGCAAACATCTCTGGGTTTTTCTCTCTCTCGTCTGCAAAAGCTGGGATCACAGCACGGCCTGGAGACCATGGGGGCATGTGTGGTCTATGAGCCCCAAGAGATGATCTGTAGATAAAATGGTTTAGTAGCCAAATAGCTTTGAAAAATACTGTGTTATTTACCTCCTGAATATTTTCAGTGTACACAATTTATTAAAAAGCTACAGTATTGGAAATCTGTTTTATTTTGTTTAAACCAGCATTTCCCAGTCCTGATTGAACAATAAACTTTTTTTGGACATAATATTCACTAACATAAACATAGCTAATTAACATCTTGACAGCCTTACAATTTTGTGGCTTATGGGTATACATTTGATGCTGTGAGCACTCTCCAAAGCTATACTAACTGCTTCTTCTTCTAATCTGTCATCTGCTCCTCTTCTCTTGAAATCCTAGGTCAGAGGCCTCATCTTCCTAGAAGTTCATTCTTCAGATTGTCAGCAACGTGAGTCTTTCCCTCTCTCCCAGCCCATGGGTAAATTGATGATACCAGTGGATGCTTTACAGGGTCTTGGGCCTGAGAGTCAGGGATCAGGCTTGAGGATTCTGGTAAAAAGATTGTGGAATTTTCTTCCTAAAGCCGAATTAATATATTCAAATGATAAAGGTGATGCTTTTGCAAACCAAATGCGAACCATTGATTAATAGCCTGATGTTTTTAAATTGCTTTTAATAATTGAGAATAGTTTGGAATAGTTGGAACAAACAAGGACAGTTGATAGACTCTCTTGGGTTTGGTACTGGTCATGCTCAATGTTACCTGTATAATTTTCTCCCAAACTTTTGATACCCAATGTCCTCATGTGTCTAATAATACATACCTCACAGGTTCATTTTGAGGCTCTAGAGATATAGTGCAGCACAGAGGGTTAAAATTTCCACACTGTGATTGAGACATGCAAAAAGCGTGAATCTTTATTTTTGGTAACTGAATTAAAATTTGTTCGTGAGCCCCCAGTTAAGGTAAAGCATATAAAGAATTCTAGGCCAGGTGTGGTGGCTCACGCCTATAATCCCAGCACTTTGGGAGGCCAAGGTAGGCGGATCACAAGGTCAGGAGTTTGAGACCAGCCTGTCCAATATGGTGAAACCCTGTCTCTACTAAAAAATGCAAAAATTAGCCAGGCATGGTGGTGCACACCTGTAGTCCCAGCTACTCAGGAGGCTGAGGCAGGAGAATCGTTTGAACCTGGGAGGCGAAGATGCAGTGAGCTGAGATCGCACCACTGCACCCCAGTCTGGGTGACAGAGGGAAACTACATCTTAAAGAAAAAAAGGCTAAGTCTTTATTTTGTTACATCCGATAATTATTTTCAGCCTGATTCAGTTATAATGTCTTGTGGAACATGAAACTCTTTTGCAGGGATGCAGGGAGGCGAAATCCTCTTTCTCCCATTCTTTCCAGAATGTCCGTGAAAATGAGGCACACCACTTCCTTCAGGCCTGGAGGTGAGGCACTCCTGGTCCTCCTTTTTTTTTTTTTTTTTGCCTTCACCTGTTGGTTGGCTGAATGCAGAGAGGTCTCAGCCGAGGACGTAGGGAGGCCCTGAAAGATGATGGAACCGCAAAAGGGGTGACGTGGTGATATAGTTTGAATATGTATCGCTGTGAAATCTCATGTTGAATTGTAATCCCCAGTGTTGGAAGTGGGACCTGGTGGCAGGTGATTGGCTCACGGAGAGGATCCCTCGTGGTTTGGTGTTGTCCTTGCATTAGTGAGTTCTCGTGAAATCTGGTTGTTTAAGAATGTTACCCATGCCCTCCGTTCTCTCTCTTGCTCCTGCTCTGGCCATGTGAGGTGCTGGCTTCCCCTTTTACCTTCTGCCACGATTGAAAGCTCCCTGGGGCTTCACCAGAAGCCAGGCAGATGCCAGCACCATGCTTCCTGTAAAGCCTGCAGAATCATGACCAATTAAACCTATTTTCTTTATAAATTACCCAGCCTCAGGTATTTCTTTATAGCAATGCGAGAATGGCCTCATACACTGGGGGATCCCCAAATCACCACATAGAAGAATTTCTACTGAACTCTTAAACTCTTGGATGGTAATGTGAATGAGAAATAAAGATGTACTTGTTAAGACATTGAAATTTTTGAGTTGCTCATGACATCAACAGCTATAATTACTATGAGTACATGGGTAGTACACATGGTCTATTGGCAATGAAAACTTTTATCCATGCAACAGCTCTAAAGTTCTAACACAGTGCATGGTAAAAAGCAGATGCTCAATAAACATTAATTACCCTATACAAAACGTAAATCAATTACAAGAACATGACACCAAAAGGGTGATGTGTTTCAGGTACCTAATTGGACACATTAGTTTGAAATTAGGGTGATCAGATAGGATCAAGAAGACAAAATGAAACTTGGACATTATCTCAATGCACATTATCTTAGCTGTACTTACCTCCCTATGAAGTAAGCACTGTTATACCTTATGTTACCTGTAAGGGGACTGAGGTTCAGAGAACTTAAGCAAATTGCCCCAAACCACAAAGCAGACATTGATAAAACCGAGACTCCGATCTCCTGAGGATGTTATTCCAAAGCCTGACGTTTAATCACCATATTTTATGTCACCAAGGATTCCAGCTTGGTTTGGTTTCCCACAATATTTTAACCCCCTGAGGCCAAATATGTGTCTTTTTTCCCATGTGACTAGTACTGTTCTTGGTAGAGACCTCAAAAAATGTTTCTTGACTTACTGAATACTTTGTGTTTATTGTCTCAGATCTGAATCCAAGAAAACCTAGACAGGAATGTCTTTTCCCCACAAATATGCAATTCACCAAAGAAAAAACAAAGAAGCAGAAGAAGTATATATTAGATTATCTCAAAGTAAATAGGCAGACATTGCTGCCCCTGGATGTAAGTAGTCGGTCACTTCCGAGTGCCTGACGTGGCATTGTCTCTCAGGAGCACGAAGCGCCGAACATCCTTTGCGAAGCCTTCTCCCAAGGAAGGACTTGGAGGGCTGGTTCACTTTCCCTGATGTCTGCTGAAGCCATGGCTCTTTATTTCAAAGTCTGGTTCTGAATTTTCTTACTGAAACCCTGTTTCCATGGTCCTTTCTATTTTTCGTATTAATTTTTTGTGTCAAATATAAAATGTATTTTCATTTTAGAAATGAATAAGGAATGGCTGTGTGCGGTGGCTCACGCCTGTAATCCTAGCACTTTGGGAGTCCGAAGTGGGGTAGATCACCTGAGGTCAGGAGTTTGAGACCAGCCTGGCCAACATGGTGAAACCCTGTCTCTACTAAAAATACAAAAATTAGCCGGGCATGGTGGCAGGCGCCTATAATCCCAGCTACTTGGGAGGCTGAGGCAGGAGAATTGCTTGAACCTGGGGGACAGAGGTTGCAGTAAGCCGAGATCATGCCACTTCACTCCAGCCTGGGTGAAAGAGAGAAATTCTGTCAAAAAAGAAAAAAAGAAAAGAAAAGAAAAGAAAAGAATAAGGAAAACACAATTTTCTTCATACCAAAATAATTAACATTTTGATATATTTCTTTGTAGTTTTTCCCATGTATGTGTATTTAATGCAGTTATTCTTATGTAAAATATATGTCAATTTCCTTTTACATATTATCAGTTTGGTGCAAAAGTAATTCCAGTTTTTGTCATTACTTGCAATAGCAAAAAGTGCAATTACTTTTGCATCAACGTAATACATCCTTTGTATTTCCCCATGTCAAATATTCTTGAAAAATATTATGGTGGAATAACCTGTCTGAAGTATGTAACATAATTTATTTAAACTCTTCCTTATTTTGAGAATTTAAGTAACTAACACTTTTTGTTAATATAAATAATGCTATAATGAACATCTTTGCATATATATCACTGTGCTCTTATCAGATTTTAAGGACTTTCTTAAAAAGTATTTATATCAAGAATAAACTATAGTTTTTTTGAGGCCTTTAATACATATTATCAAAAACTTTTAAAAATGTATAAATATATATTTCTACTAGCAGTATATAAAATGTCCATCTTTCTGCACCTCCACTATCCATTGGTTAGCATGAAGTTATAGAAATTCTAAATCTAAGTTCCCCTAGACATGACATCTAGGGGTCTAAGACCCTAAAATGGTGTGCCAAATTTTATGTATATGTACATTTTTTGGAGGAGAGGGTTCTTGACAGAATGTTTAAGCATTGAATTATTCTTGTGTTTTTGTTTAATTTTTCATGTCTTAGATAACAAATGAAGTTGAACATTTCTTCATACATTTGTTGTTCATTTGTCTTTTTACTTCTGAGAATCATCTCAAGTTCTTGCTTGAGTTCCACTGGAGTATTTGTCTCTGTCTTTTGGATTTGCAAGAGCCTCTTAGAAATAAAAGATGTTGATCCGTTGTTTGCCATATTTGTGTGGCAATTATTTCCTAGCTTGGTGGTTTTTGATAGAGAGACATTTAAAATACTATAGAATCAGTGTTAGTGAATGTTTCTTTTATTTTCTCATCCATCATTTCTATGTTTAGGAAGGCTTCTCCCAATTAGAGATTGATACAGTATATGTTTGTAGTTTATTCTAGTGCTTTATGGTTTGCCAAGTATTTAATCTATCTAGAATTTAATGTATTATTCACCCACTTATTCATTTCTTCTTCTAACAAACATTTATTGTGCCCTTATGTGTCAGGCATTTAACGTGAAGTGGGAATTTAACTTGATAGTTTCCTCAACTGCCTTAGGTATTTTTCTTCATTATCATTTGTTGCATTGGTGATTGCTTCCTTTATTATATTTTATTAAATTATATTAAATTCATTAAATATTGAAATATACTATTAGTATGTTTATCTCATTAATATATCTACTTACAAATTTTAATTAAATATCAAATTTTATCATTACACAAAATGGATATATTTGACAGTAAATAAATTAAAAAATTATTACATATATGGTATTTTCAGTGCAGTTTCTTGTATTTCATTAATCTTTCTTTGATTCATGCACCAATTCCACACACTTCCAATGATTGCAACTTCAGGATTTATTTTAATATTTGCTTCTTCTCATTACTCTTTTGGAATTTAGTAGAATGTTTTTGTTTTTTGAGATAGGGTTTCACTCTCATCACCCTGGCTGGAGTACAATGGCGTGATCTCAGCTCACTGCAACCTCCACTTGCCAGGCTCAAGGTATCCTGTTGCCTCAGTCTCCTGAGTAGCTGGCACTGATACGGAATTGGGGCAGGGAAGTGCTGGAAGGAGAAGGGCGGGTCCCTGGCTAGGGCACCATCCCCGGGCCTCTGCCCACGGACCTAGGTGAGGGCAGGCATTTTTGTTTTCTTACCCAAATGTTGCAATTCCCAAAACCACTCTAGCCTGCCACGCCCCCCTCCTGTGCCTATAAAAACCCCTGAGATTCCAGCAGGCGGACACACAAGCGGCTGGACGTCATGAGGAGTAGATTAGTGGAAGAAGACACAAGCATCTGGACATTGAGAGGACATCGAGAGGAGCACACCGGTGGAAGAATACACCAACAGGCACACGGCAGGCCGTCAACACAGCCGAACGACATGGAGTTTGGCTGGGGCAGTCGGAGGAGAGCCCAGGACGCTGAACCGCCGGACACCACAGAAAAACCACCTCCCTTCTAGTTCCCCCATCTGCTGAGAGCTACCTCCATTCAAGAAAACCTTGCACTCATTCTCCAAGCCCACATGATCCGATTCCTCCGGTGCACCAAGGCAAGAACCCAGGGATACAGAAAGCCTTCTGTCCTTGCGGTAAGGCAAGGTCTAATGGAGCTAACACAAGCCACCTATGGACGGCTAAACTGAAAGAGCACCCTGTAACACATGCCCACTGGGGTTTCAGCTGTAGACATTCACCACTAGACACTGCCATGGTGTTGGAGCCCCACAGCCTGTCTGTCTGTATGCTCTGCTAGAGGTTTGAGCAGCGGGGCACTGGAGAAGTGAGCCACACCCCATCGCAGGCCCTGCGAGGAGGACAAGGGAACCTTTCCTGTTTCAGCACCACAGGGGCGCACCACTGTGTCCAGCTAATTTCTGTATTTTTTGTAGAGACGGAGTCTTGCTATGTTGCCCAGGCTGGGAAACTCCTGAGCTCAAGAGATCCACCTGCCTTGGTCTCCAAAAGTGCTGGGATTACAGATGTCAGCCACCATGCCTGGCAGAATTTTGTAGAAATTTTAAATTGTTTCTTTTTGTTCAGATGAACTTCAGAATCATTTTGTCAGTAAAATTGGTATGATATTTAGAAATTTTACTACTGAAATTCTTTTTGTGCTTCTTTATATCTTATCTTCTTTACTCATCATAGGATGATATATATGTGGTAATGTCTTAACAGCTCACATCAGTATTGGATTTCCATTCTTTTCTGCTGATCTTTCTAACAGATTTTTGTTGATGTTCTTGCTTTAATTTGCATAGTTTGCTTTTTCGTTTGGAAA